AGATGTGATTTGATCCCCAGGGCCCACATGGTAGAATACAGAACCAAGTCCCCCAATTGTCCTCTGACCACCACATGTGCAAAGGCACTCCCCCAAATAAATAAACTAAGCAAACAATATTTTGGATAAACACAAGTGACATGAAGAAGACTATGAGGTGAGGGTTAGCAGGGTGATGGAGAATAGAGGGAAAGTAATTTGAACAGAGGCTGTAAGAAGCACAGAAGCAGGCATGGAGACCCTCCTCCCAGGGGTGAGGCATGGTGGAGCAATAATCCCAGCACTGGAGGGCGGAGGCCGGAAGACTGCTGCAAGTTTGAAGTCAGCCCAATCTATAAACCGAGTACCAGGACAGCTTGGGCTACAGAGTGCAATCTTGTCTCAAAACAACAAGGTAATAATCAACCAAACAAAGAAGTAAGTAAAACTGAGAAAGACTGAGAGGGGAAAGACGTTCAAGGAAGAGGAAGCAGAAGCTGTGAAGGCACAGGTGATCAGAGCGGACAGATGGTAGGAAGCACATCAAGGAAGTCAAAGAAGGAGGACACAGGCATGGATCTCAGGGAGGAGGGCACAGACACAGATCCTGGAGAGGAGGGCACAGGCACAGGATTTTGTCTTACAGTTTGTCAGCAGTTACTACTAAGAAGAAGCACATGGTTGCATTTACAGTGAAAAAAAATCACCTTTGGCTATGACTACCAAACCTGCAGAAATTAAAAAAAAAAAAAATTATAAGAGAATAAACACTATAGACAAGTGTGTGGTAACATTAGATAACCAAATGAAATGGGAAAAAAATTCTTAAAATATGTTATCAAAGTTACTTAAAAAGAAGTAGGAAAACTCAACAGACCTGTGAAAAACAAAGACGTTGCTTCAAATAAAAATAATCTTGATAAAGGAAAATTTGGGACCAGAAGATCTCACAGATGAATTCTAACAAACATTTAAAATAGTTTATTGTTTTTTATATTTTTATGTGTATGCATGTATTGCCTGCATGTAGGTAAGTGCACCGGTGTCATGCAATGCCCACGGAGGACAGAAGAGGCTGTTGGATCCCCTGGAACTGGAGTTACGGACAGTTGTTAGCTGCCATGTGGGTGCTGGAATTTGAACCTGTGTCTTCTGCAAGAACATTCAGTGTTCTTGACTGCTGAGCCATCTCTCCAACCCCCTATCAAATATTTAAAGAAGAGCTGACTGTAGTCTTTCTTTGGCTTGGAGTTATAACCTCTGTGAGGTTAGCAGACAGACAAAGACAGACCAAGATATTAAAAAAAAAAAAAAACAGGTCAATGTTTATTAATTAAGATATAAAAGTACACAAACAAATGAAAACCAACCAAGTTGAATGCAACAGTCTGTTGCAAGGGCCCTCGACATGACCAAAGAGGATTTATGTCAGGACTACAAGAGCAGTTCAGATAAAATCAAACAGAGGAAAGCATCCTGTTAGTAGAACAAAAACAATACAAGTATGGCCACTTAGACAGATGTAGAAAAGGCAGCTGACAAAATCCAGCACCATGTCTTGACTTAAAAAACAAACATAAAACAACAAAAGTACCCACTCAGAAAACTAGAAGATAAGAGTAGTTCCTCAACATAATGAAGTGTGCCTGTTTAAAAACTCACAAGAGGGGTTGGGGATTTAGCTCAGTGGTAAAGCGCTTGCCTAACAAGCGCAAGGCCCTGGGTTCGGTCCTCAGCTCTGAAAAAAAAAAAAAGAAAAAGAAAAAAAAAAAAAAGACAAAAACTCACAAGCAACACTGTACCCAGAAGTAAAAGGTTGAAAAAGAATGGATCCCTAATTCATATCATGTAAAAAAATTAACTTAAAATGAATCAAAAACCTAAATATAAGAGCTAAATCAATAAAAGCATTAGAAAAGAACAAAAGGTCCTTAGATTGGGCAATAGATTTTAGACATAACATCAAATATATGATAAAATTCAGAAAAAATATATATACAGTAGACTTAACATCAATTTTTTTTTTGTGCATGGAAAGATACCAGGAAGAAAAAACCACTTAAAGAGTCAGATAAAATATTTGTACTTGGGATGAAGCAAATCAAAACCACAATGAGATACTTCACACTTAGCAAAATGACTATCATTTTGAAAATAAAACTAAACCAAACCTGGAAGTGTGCAAGGATGGGAAAAAATGGAATCCTCATACAATGTCAAGAATAATAAAAAATACTTCATTCGGCTTCTCTGCCTAACTGGATGGTGTTACTTTAAGAGCAAGCACAGAATTACTACTAGACCTATGGATGTGCCCAGAGAAATGAAAACAGGTACTCAAACAATCTGCCACATCGACAGGTAAAAATAGCCAAAAGGCATAATCACCCAAGTATCTCTCTATGGGTGAATGGACAGGCAAATCGTGGTATATAAACACAATAAAGGGGTCTGCTGAAACATGGTGCAGTGTGAATGAACCTTGAAGACATGCTAAATAAAACAAGGCAGTCTCAAAGGCTAGTGATTGCAAAAATTCATTCATATGAACAATCCAGGAGAGATTAAGCCATAAAAGTTAAATCAGATTAGTGACTGTCAGGTCTGGAAGAGTAGGGAATAACAGTTTAATGTAGTTGGATTTTTATTTTGTTGCAAAGAGAAATGCTTTGAAACCAGATGAATGTGGTGATTATAGAACTATGTCAGTGTACTAAAAGACACTGAACTCTACATTTTAAAACATATTTTATTTATTATTTTTATTTTATGTGTATGAGTGCATTGCCTGCATGTATGTGAGTGCACCTGTGTTATGCAATGCTGCGGAGGTCAGAAGAGGGTTTCGGATTCCTGAACTGGAGTTAAGGAGGGTTCACAGCCGCCAGGTGGGTGCTGGGAATCGAACTGAGTCCTCTGCAAGAGCAGTCAGAGCTCTTAACTGCTGAGCCATCTCTCCAGCCCCTGAACTCTACATTTTAAAGAGGTTAATTTTTATGTTAATGCAAACACTTCAAGGCTGGTGAGATGACTCAACTGGTAAAGGCATTTGCCACAAAAAAAAACTTAGGACCTGAGTTTGATCCCTGGGATCCACCTACATGGTGGAAGAAGAGAACCAACTCCCACACATTGTCTTCTGATCTCCACACCTACTCTGTGGCACACACATGCTCACGTATGTACGCAAACATACTCATGCACAATAAATAGATAATAAATAAATAAATAATAAATAAATAAATAATAGAATAATTTTAGACACCTCAAAAAGTCACTTTGGTGGAGGCACTGGATGGGAACACACATATTGGGCATCTGATGTGCTGAGAAGGGGTGAGGACTCCACTGCCAGTGTGAACTGAGAGGAAGTAAGGGATTTGGGAGCTGTCTAGCTAGAGAGGGGAGGGAGACAGATGAGTAAGCTATAAGTTAAGAGAACAAGATTTTGAATCAATGATAGCCAGGGCTCTGTTAAGTGGGCTGTGGGTCAGGGAAGTTTAGGAGGCACTTAGAAAGGTGAATCTTTACTTGAGAGATGCCCCTGCTGTAGATGATAACTGCAGAGTTTTGCAGTGGTAAATTATAGCTTAGAAAATATCACATCATAGTTCGCTTTACCTAAGGAAGTGTTCAATAAAAATATTGAGCATCTATAAAAGAGGGGTTGACTGTGACAGCAGGAAGGTGTCCATATACCCCTGACAGAGAATTTTAGGCCTGCAATAGTTATTTAAATAGGTTTTGCTTTTATGAAAAGTGTTGCCCATAAAAGCAGAAATTACTGTAACTCAGTGAAATTGTTAAGCTGCCTCAAATTTAGGGCAGAGCGTTACCTGTGCATATCCAATCTCTGCACTGGGTTTTCTGAATGTGCATAGTATTTGCATGAGCAGGACCACCAGGAATAGCATTATAGCAACACAGAAGGACAAGAAAGCATCTTGTGTCTGTAAATTTTCCTCCCATGGGGACCCCTTGTCCCACATGTCACCCATTGGAACATGCCCACTTACCTGAGTTGCCTTCAACATTTACGGAGAATTTGTAGTGTGCTATTACATACATTATGGCTTTAATTTTCTCTTTTTGTTAAATGCATTAATACTCTTTTTGATATTCATGTGTTAGAAATAAGTATGCTGGTGCTTTCTTGACCACACGAGTAAGTCAATTCTCTGACATCTGTCAACCTTCTGAAAGAATACTACCATTGGTTGAGAAATTGCTTTCCCCTGTTAGATCAATGGATGATCATATTAAAATTAAAACTAGTAGTTTTAGCTTTAAAAATTATTTTTTAATCATTATTTAAAAAATTTTTAATAACTACATGATTAGAAGAAGCATTTCACTACAGCTTTAACACATTCAGTAACAAATATACTCCAGAGCAAGAGTACATCTCTTTCACAAGTGGGTGCAAGTTTCTAGGTTCATAGTTGAATTAATACAGTTATACAATATTGAACTCAGTATAAGCCCTATAAAACATAAAATTGAATGAGGTTTTTAACCTTTTAAAAAGATCTTCATTTCGTTTTAGAATATATTGTTCCTTGCAGAAAGGCTCAATGAAATGCTTCTTCTAAGTGTTTGGTTATTAAATAAATAATTTAAAAAAATAATAGAAATAGGCAGATACAATTATTCAATTTCAATTCAAATGTCCTAAGTAACATTATTTAGCCTAAAGGAATTTATACATGTATTTTGGAAATTTGCTGTTTGGATTTAACAAAATAAGTAATAACATCTATCACAAGCTAACTCCTTGGTTCAACTGTCACCAATTTGTCAAAGACTTAGGAAGGTACCTGAAAATTATGTCAAAACATTATGGATTTATACTGGAAGAACAGCTCCATGCATGAATGGGTGGAGGGTTGTAGAGAAAAATCTCACGAAGCATTAACAAGCACAAGGCACTTACAGACACACAAAACAAACAGGCATATGCACAGTGGCCTACCCCCTACTGCTGGAAGGTCTTAGGGAAAGAAAAGAGAATCCCTACTCACGTCACACTGAAAAGGCTTTTCCCCAGTGTGTGTCCGCTTGTGCTCATCCAGGCCCCTCTTCTGGCTGAAGGCCTTGCTGCACTCTGAGCACTGGTATGGCTTCTCCTGTGAACAAGGAAAAGAGCACCACGGTCAGTGGGTCAGCAGCTCAGAGCGCCCTTGGAAAGGTGAGCTCTCAGGGGGAAGATGGGCTCTTCACAGCATGCAGTGTGCTGCAGCAAATGCACTGGGGTGAGATGAGTTACTTCGACATTTTACAAGACTGTAATAATCTTCACTTCTGGACACTAATCTCCTAGATGAAGGTAGCAGTACAAGATGGTGGTACATTTCCTTCAGAATTATTATCTTTGCAAAGCTGGCTGTAGAGTTGGCACTGTGATGCAACTTTCAGTTGTTTCTTTTAGCCAAGAAAGCCATAAAATTTAATGGATTACTTTGAACACTGTCAGCTAAGAAAGCTGAGGACCCATTAGATAGACAGTGCAAGTTATTTGGCCTTAGGAGACTGAATTCTTCAGAACCAAGTAAGTTTGAAGATAAATTAAGAAAGCTAGGACTCAACTTTGAATGATACAGATTTTCTTTTTCTGTATAAACTTTAATATTCTGAAGTGAGGCTTTTATTGCTTTACTCTTAAGTATACATCTCAAAAGGAGCAGAAAAAGCTCAAAATTTCTCAGTCATCTTTGCTACTGGGAACTTAAGCTACCAACATATTTTGAGCCTGCCCTGAACTGTGAAATAAATTAACTAACCTTCTTTTCAAATAGCTGGCAGGATACTACTCAGTACATCAATGAAAATATCTGTTTAGATTTAAGGAAACTTGCAACGAGATGTTTTTTCAAATGTACCTTTATCATTATTATTATAAACACTGTTTTGAGGATTGCATCTTTGATTTCCTCTCTTGAGAACATATTTATATTTTGCCTTAAAATACAATGTTTTCCAGGCCCACAAAATAGTTCTGTAAGTAACAAGCTAGGCATACAATCTAGTTATCTGAAGGAGTCAAACATTCTCGGTGCAAGTATACCTGCTGGTAGCCACAACTTCCTCCCCAGAGCACCTTCCAACCTCTGCAAGGATGAATGCTTTACTGCTTGCCCCTTGGCTTTCTCTATATTTCTACCACATGTGCATGATGGATTCCTAAGGAAGATATTTATTTTGACCTTGGAAAGTGTGGAAAGAGTACCATGCTCTATGTAATTTTGTGTGTGTGTTCTCTGGAAGCATTCTTCATTGTCTTCATGGGCTTCTAAGTCCTCACTTTAATTGTGTGAATACATACAGCTTCTACTTCCTCGTGCTGTCTTTTAGTCAAGGGATATACCACAATTCACTTAAATATAGTCTCCAGTGACAGATAATTAACTTCCTCAATTTCTCACCCTTGCACATAACTTTACTATGAATAATCTTGCACATGTATACATGAACACATTTGAGAGCAATGGTCCAATGGAGAAGTATCTAGAAGGGGAGGCTGCAGGTCCAAGTTTAAGAATAGCCAAATGGCTCTACAATTTTAATAAACTATTTTCATTTCACTTTCCAGTGCCTTCTTGTAACTTATCATCTTATCACTCTCTTAAATATTTTGAAACTCTCATAAGAGCATTTCAGGTGCTACCCAGATAACTATGGGACTGTAGTCCAGTAGGTTTATCACAACTTCATAAGTTGAAAGTGTGTCATTTTAAATGTCCAACCTACCAAACATTTAGCTTAGCAGCACAAAACACCTTGGGTGCTGGCTGTTCTGCTCAGCGATCACTGGCTGATGCAATCTACAGAGCTGCTGCAACTGCCACTGTGCAGCATCAGGATGATCTGAACCACCAGAGGAAAAGACCCAAACCCAAAATTTTAGGTGTGGTCCTATTAAATACATGTAAGTTTTGCCATGATAACATCGATCCATCATTAATCCAAGGACTATCTGTATTATATTCTTAGAAAACAGGACCTTTTCTCATTTGAAGTTACCTTTATCAGTAGTCACTCATTTTTACCTTAAAATTCATGCTGTTGTAATATAGCAAAAAGTTTTCAAAATTAATCTGCATGGGGCTGGAGAGATGGCTCAGTGGTTAAGACCACTGGCTGCTCTTGCAGAGGATCCAGGTTTGGTTCCCAGCACCCACATAGCGACTAACAACTGTCCATAACTCCAGATCCAGGGATTTGATGCCCTCTTCTGATCTCTGTGAGCACTGGAAAAATACTCATAAAATAAAAATATCAAAATATTTAAAAATTAATGTGCATGATATAATCATTGTTTGCTACCAGTCTATGTAAGAAATGACTTATGGGGCTGGAGAGATGGCTCAGTGGTTAAGAGCACTGGCTGCTCTTGCAGAGGATCTGGGTTGGAGTCCCAGCACTCACAACAACAGCTAACAAAGGTCCATAACTCCAGCTCCAGGGGATCCAGACACGGTCTTCTGACCTCCTCGGGCACTGCATAACAGGAGTACGCTTATACACATGCAGGCAATACGCTCATACACATATACACATAAAATAAAAATAATTTAAAATAAATAAGTAAAAACAAATGACCCATAAAGAGAATGGAATTAGACTCTTTTAATATAGTACATTTCTTTGTGATCCAAATATTATATCAATGAAGTTTAAGTTTTGTCTCCCTACATTTTACTCTTCATTTTTTAATCTTTTTACAATTTCCATGCCTTTGTGTTGTGTTTTATATCATTTTTAAGAATTGTTCACCAACTGTTTTGAACATAATGTGTTATTTAATAAAAAAATTTATTTCTGTTAACATATTTTTAATTTCTAGAAATTTTAATTTGCTGTTTCCCCAATTCCATTTAATTTTTTGATAATGATCTTACTTTTTAACTCATTATTTAAGACTATTTAAAAACACTCTAAATGAGCTGGCATGGTGGCACATGCCTTTAATCCTAGCACTTGGGAGTCAGAGGCAGGGGGATCTCTGTGAGATCAAGGCCAACCTGGTCTACATAGTGAGTTCCAAAGCCAGCTGGAGCTACAGGGAGACCCTGTCTCACAGAACAAGCAAACAAGGAAAAAACCCAAAACCACAGCAAAACAAAAAATATTCTAGGCATGAATACATTTTATCATGTGATAAATCATTATATTAAGTTTTAAAGAAGTCTAATTAGCTATCTGTCTCCCTTTTACCTCCTTGTATGTTTCTGTAATTTGCAATTGTAAACTCACTTTTGGTAGTCTCTAGCTGTTAAAATCCTGTGATCTTCTGGGTAAAGGATAAGTTCATCTAGTCTTTGAATTTGCTTCTGTCAGATAATCTAAAATGCTCTTTGAAGTTTATTACTTGCCTTAGGGTTTTCTGGTCAAGCAAATACTTTAAGTCTGAACACCAAACATACTTCAGGAATGGACTAATGCCATAAATACTAGCGAGAACAACTTCCTTAGCCAGAAGTTAACTCAAAACAGTCATATATCCCAAGCATTGACTTTGCAAAGGGCAGATTATGTCTGGTCCTTCTTATCTTTTTGGGCATAGCCTTTCTGGAGTCCCCAGCATTGTGGTGGGATGTGACTCCATTCTGCCCTAAATCCTGAACAACATTATAAACCTGATTCAAGCAGCAACCCTGGGAAGCACATAACAGGTGCTGCATCCATTCATCCAACTCAAGCTCCCCACTCACTGGATGCTCCAGAACTGTACACCCTGAAACATGTGTACGCGCATGCATACACCACACACATACACTCAAAATGTACACCCAAAATTGGCTAAGACTGAAAAAATAATCAACACTCACATACTGAGATTTTTAAAATATTTACAAATACTATTGTAGACTAATTTAGTATGATTCATTTGCAAATGTAATTGAAGTTAAAACACTACACTACAAGTAAGAATCACAATCATGAGTTTCCATATGTGTTTTGACTGAAAAGAAAAGGGTGAAATTTACCATGTTAAAAAGGTCCCCCCAACTGAAGAAGTTCGAGAGCCACAGAATAAAAAGGGGTCCATTTGATTAAGGGCTTTCCCATCTGCCTGGACTACTCTGCTTAGAAGCATTTGAAGACAGGTAGCTTCCTGTGGTTTTGCCCTGAGAGAGACTCACAGAAGCCCCCACAATCACCTTTCTATGTCAGTCTAGAGAGGAAAGCTCCCTGAGTCCTTAGCCCATAGCTAAGTCTGGAAAAAGCAGCTGCATTTGCTCTTCAAGTGTCTGTCTCTCTTCTTTATCCCTAGATATTATACAAAGACTCCATATGTCTCTTGGAAAGGATGTAGCTCCAGAAAGACAGTTGTGAGACTCCATAATGCTTCTTGGAATGATCACCACTGCTCACCCTTAAAAGATTCCAGTTTATAGGGAACAGTATGAAAGCAAGTACTGGGAAATTCCTGCCTCAAGAAGGCTCTTAAATGACATGCGAAGCCAAGCAGCCAGATGCCCCTTCAAAATGCAAGAGAAGAAAATCTATATACTTTTCCTAAAGAAGGAACCTTGCCTCTCTTCCTTACTAACTTCTCATTACTGCTAATGAGCTTCATTGCAGAAACATCAATCCTCAGAAGCCAAGCACAGGTGGACAGTAAGAGGATAGGCTGAATGCTACAGGGTACGCATGACACCAGATGCTAGGGAGGTCTGTCCTATACTCTCTGGGAACTGTGGAAACCCTTCAATGAGCATTTCCAAGTATTTCATAGCCCTACCCTGGCTGTGGAGAAGAATCCATGCATATGTGCAAGACTAGAAGAAAACATTAATTTTAGATTCTTTGCCTGTGCACGCGCGTGTGTGTATGTGTGTGTGTGCTTGTTTTGAAGTGCATGCATGAATGTGTGTGCACATGTGCACACATGCGTGTGGAGGCCAGAGCATGACGATGGTGTCTTCCTTAATAGCTCTCCACTGAAGAGGCAGTGTCTCTTGCTGACCCTAAAGCTCACCAATTCTGGCTAGTCTAACTAGCTAGCTTGCCCTGCTATTCTGCTCTGATTTCTGTCTCCTGAAGGGCTAGGAGGCTACCATGCCTTCCCTGGATTTTAGGTGGGAGCTGGAGATCTGATCTCTGGTCCTCCCACTTACACAGC